CTGAGGCAGAGCTTAGAAACAAAAGATCACTTTTTCAGGAGTTTGTTTGTACAGTCACCAGCCTGGACTCCGAGAAGCACAGGAGGAAAGTGTGTGTTTGCCACTTACTGAGCTGGATACAGGTAAAAATTACAGTTGACCAAACTGTGGAGCAGATGAGAGGATTGGAAGACTTCCATCCAAGTCTAGCCTGTCAGGCTCTTTGCAGACACCGTTAATTTAGTTTTGTGACTGCTTTCCCTGTACATTTGTCTGAAACCACTTCCTGCATTTGTAGCCGAGAGCAGGAGTTTTGAAAGAATTTAGGGTGGCGATTTACAGCTAGCCAGATTTCCAGGTCCTCTCAAAGGTAATGTATGTACTGCTGCAGATTAAACCCAACAGCTTCCTTATTTGTATGCATGTTCTTAAGTCTCCCTCTCTGAAGTGCTGTAGCTTGTCACGAGGCAGACTTTAAAATCAAAGCTGTGAGATCAAATGGTTGATCAGTCTTGCTGTTGCATTGCTCAAATACCTTGCATGCATTGTGGTGGGGCGGGGGCGGGGGTAAGGCAACAGAGGAGGATGGTTGGAGAATTGTAGAGGTTTTTTTGAGGCTTCAGAATTAGCTGTGTAAAGATTAACATACAAGGTGAAATTATGTTCTCACTTATGGGCTGGTTCAGATGCGAGACCGAGATTTGATAGCTCCTGAAGCAAAAACCCCAGAATCAGACCCACAGGTCACGCAGTACTGCATCGATGGGACTAGCTTGCTTACAGCAGGAAAAGATAAAGCATCTGGAGTAGATGTCAGCAGTGTAGATCTGTGTTCTTCACGCTGTAATAAAAACAGGTGAACCTTCAAGTTTACTTTAGTGTTTATCAGTGTATTTGGAGAAATCCAATCCGGCTCAAAACTCCACTGAACACAGTTAGCTATAAGTGGTTCACGACTGTTAATATTATACAGGATACATGTTTTGTAATACTTTCTGTAACTTGGTGCAGTTTTTATTGTGGGATGTGTTGGCAGCATTTCCTTACCTTTATTTTAGTATTTTAGTTGTAACTTGGCTGACTTCATAAATATGAGTATATATCTAGTTTGCAAGGATATATTCTTGTCCAAGTGTTCTCATTATATGTAGCAAGTACTCTGTTCTGTAGCCCTCTCTAGTTCTTACTCTCTCTCCTTCATTTTTAATTTGGTCTTTCTCCTTATTTCTCAAACTCTTTGCCAGCCTAATGCTAAGAGATTCAAGGGTGGATTGTTTTCTCTTTTTTTTGCTGGGGGAGTATGTTCAGTTACTAACTACAATTAGGTGTAAACCAGACTTTTTCAAAAAGGGAAAAGTCAATGTATAGATGCAACTAGATGCTTCCTCTTTCATGTTCAGGAAGTGAAAATCTCTGATTGCTGTTGTACAGCTAGGACTGGAGTCAGACTTAAAAACTGGTCACCCTCACAGAACATGAAACCAGCCTGAGTGAAGATCAAAGTAATGGATTATTTTGTATGATTCACTGTAAACTTTGTGTAAATTCTTTTCTTTAATATTTCAAATGTGCTGTAGTACTTACACTGTAAAATATAACTGTTACTGTACTTTAGAGAGTTCTGTACTGACTTCAAAACTATGCATGGTGCTCTTCTCAGATGTTTTAACTTCATGGATTTTATTCTTACAATATTAGAGTTCTAGAAATAGGGATGTTTTGTGTTTCCTGATAGCTAATTGTGTAAAAGATTTCTGTGTTTCCATAAAGCGAAAGAAATACTTTAAAAACAAAACAAAAGCCCCCCCCAAACCCCAAACATATCCTACTCAAATACACCAGATTTTATTTAAATAAGTATTTTTTTTTCTCTAATAATTAATTTTTCTCTTGAGAGGAAATGCTCATCGGTGTTTGATTCCTGTTAATCTATGAAATCAGGATCTTTTTTCCTGAACAGGAGAAAACATTAAGATACTTGAGATGCATCAAGGATAGAGGCATCTTAGCTGGAGCAGAAGCTGCTGTACAGCAACAGAAATGGATAATTCTGAGACAGTGAATTCTAGGTTGGGGAACTTGTGCATTGATGAAACCTATTGTCCATGTGTCATTAGCTACCAAGTATTCCTGATTGTAAAATTCAGAGTAACAGCAATCTCTGTAGACTTCCAATTTGCTTTGTAGTATCTACCTCCAAATTTAAATGTAAGTTTTTGAGGAGTGTCTTCCAGAGTGGAGAAGAGTAAAAGAAACCTACCTGGAAGGTACGTCAAGAGGGTGATCTTTACAAATGACCAAAGAGTCCTTAGTAATCAGACCTCTTAGTTTGAGTGAGGAATGTACCAAACACATTGATTATGTTCTGGATGAATTAATGTATTCGTGTAGAGCAAGAGACCAGTTTCCAAGGACAGCTTTTTTCTTCAGTGTATTACATTATAGCAATTAGCACTTGGCAATTGAGGTGGGTGCACGCACATGTAGAAAGGAGGCTGCAGCCTGTGGATTTGGTGGTGTTCGACAGGAATGACAGTTGCAGCACCTAGTTTAGTCACCCAAGCCTTGTCAGTTAGGTTTTCAATGTAGCTTATAGAGAAAGGCTTCCCTCAAACCCTCCTTGATGTCCCAGTTAGGATTCTGCTCTGAGTCACTGTCTGGAGGAGCTTGTTCCTCCACAGGGAGACCAGGGGGTATCAGTTGAATACCCCTCCCAAAACCAATCTTTTTTTCTTTTTTTTTTTTTTTAACCCAGCTGAAATCACTGCATGCACTCTTCATGGAATTATACCTTTAAAATCACTAGAAAATGAAACTTATACAGGATGACACTTTGAACTGTTCCTCTTAGTATAAACACAGGATCTGTGTTGGCTACCAAAAGCCATCAGGAGGATTTAGGTCTTGGATGGTTACCTCTGTGAGCCTGGTGGATGCCCTACCTCTCCCAGAGAGATGGTTGTTCTCCACCTGTATCATAACTGAACCAGTGGAAATCAGTTCAGCTGGGTTCTCATTTGCTGCCAGGAAGTGTCTGGCAAGGTCTTTATAAGTGCGTCACCTCTGTTTGTGAGATTTTTAGGAACCACTAAGGTATGGTGAAGGTTGAATGAAGAATTATACTGCTCAGCTGAGTTATTGCCGGTGTTGATCTAAGGGTGCAGAAGTACTGCTAGTGCTCATACCTGGCTCTCTTCACCTAGTGAAATCTTTTGTCAAAGATGTTACCTGGATTCAAACTTCAGATTGTTCTTTTGCAGTGTGTTCTGTGTACAAGTCTTCAGTGGTGACTGTATGTGAATAGCAACGCTTAGGAACCCTCGGGATAGCTATCCAGCTAGGAATGGGGCCAGGGGGCTGAGGTGGGAAGAAACTACCCTTGCGGCATACAGCTGTGCTGGGGAAATCCCATCAGAAAGCCCATGTCTGGCCTTCTGGCAGGTGACACAGAGGCTCAGAAAAAGGCTCCAGCATTGACGTGGTCCCCCAAGGGCTGTGATAACCGCTGCGATAGTGGGGCAGTCGAGGGATACCTGCAAACCGTGAGGTGCACTGTGGGGAGGATACATCTCTGATACCTTCCTGGTCCCAGGAATATGCCTGGACTAGTGTAGGAGGTGAAGTGGCAAGTGAGCAGTAACCTTTCATTGCAAGCAGGACTCCCCAGATTGGCTTTTTGGCCAGCAGCACTGTGGCGAGTTGGAAATCCTACACCTGTGCCTGCACAGACTATTGACATTCTTAGTAACACTTCTCAGCCTGAAACAGTGCTGATGGGGGTGGTTGTGGTTTTGGATGGATAGCATAGGTCCTCTGCTGTGGGGTGTCTGTGGGATCATCACTCTCTCGGAAAGCATCCCGGAGTCGTGACGGGCCCAAAAGTGTGGTGTAAAAGCTCTCCTGAGCTCCAACTTGCATGCTGCTCCGAGTCCCGCTCTGCTGGCTGTTCTGAATACCAGCTCGCCTCTTTGAAGGCAGGGACCGACGCCTTCTGTGGACCAGGAGCTACCTTGTGTCAGTCACTTTTTCCAAACTGAATCCAGTGACTGGGTAATTAAATGGCTGTGTAACAAAAGAGCTAACAGCCTGCTGTCATTAATCTACCTATTTTTACATGGAGCCTAGACTTACTTTTAAGCACAGAGCTCATAATAAGAAGCCTTACCTTTTACAGAGAGAAGTTAACACTCAGGCCTGGTAGCTAGAAGGCTTAGCCTCCTTAACCTGCCAAAAATATCTCGTTAGTCACTTTTCCCATATTGCTCTGGTAACTGTTTATTGTTTGTGGACTAGAGGGCTTCCTCAGGATCCAGGTTCTTCCAAAGACTGCAGAAAGAGCATTGCTAGCTCTGGGAATGAGGAAGGCATTCAGTGGGAGCGGGGCAACGTCCAACCTGCTGACAGATGTACTCCTGAACCCTCACTTGCAAACATTAGCAGAAGGACAGGTGCATAATCACCTTGTTGAATGTACAGTTGAAATAACTAAGCGCTGTTGAACTGTTTGGCTTTCAGCTCCTGCAGGCAATTTGGGCTCTTTTGAGCCTTTGTGTTGGAAAGGAAGGGCCTCTGTGTTCTTGCAGAGTGTTTGGCTGTGTTGCAACAAATCTGGTTACTGATGCCCAGGCATACTGTGATTGATGCACGGATCAAATGACTGTTGGGAGTGGCTTTCGAGGTGACGTCCCACGTACAATGATGTCAGCAAAAGATTTTAAAAAATTCAGGTGTGGCATAATCTGCCAATTAAACTGATTAGTACTCTGGCTGAGTCCTGAGAAGGAGCTCTGGCTCTAGAGCCCTGCTTATTGAAGTATTTTATTTAGTGCCTTTGTCTCGCCTTGTGCTAGATTTTTACCTAGTACCTTTACTGCAGCACACTGTAAATTGAGGTGGGATACCATACCAAGGGCTATGTGCTAGCTCTCTTGCTATCTGGGGAAATCTGCTACTAGCTCACAAATGTCCCTGACAGCTTGGAAGTTGTGACACTGGAGAAGATCAGCTCCCGTGGGATCGGGATGGAGTGCCTCGCTGCTCTATTGGCAGAAGTGAAAGCTAGCCAGGAGGCAATGCAGGCTGGACAGAGGGAACTCAAGCACAATGTGGAAACATCTCAAAAGGAAATCAGAACAGTGTTAGCACTGCAGAGGAGCCAGCAACAGGTGAAAGAAGATCTCGAAGCGGAGGTGAAGTCCAGTCACTTGGATATAAGAACTGTGCTTGAGGAAATTCAGCGAGTAAGAGAAGAAATGGAAGCTCGATTAAATACTCAGGCTGATCTGGTCTTACTGATCAAAGAAGTGAGCACCAATTTAACATGTGTAGACAAGGCTTTCCAGAAAATGGAGGAGAGGCAGAAATTTTTTACCAGCCTGCATCTTCCTACAACAGAAAATGTTGAGCAAGGATTTTTCTTTGAAAAATGCTTACACAAGACCCACGTGGGTTTTGAAAAACCTGTGGAAGTTAACAGTTTGGATGAGGAATGTGAAAAGAAGGTGCTTAGGGGTAAGAAAATGGCGACTGCAAAAGTATGGGGAGAGAAGTGAGGTTGTTCCTACTTGTGCTTGTCAAGTAGTTTCTTTAGACTATTTGGAATGCTTTTAAGAAATGTAATTTTTTTAGAAATTGAATCTCTTGCTTAAAAAAAAATAATTTCTAACTAGCATAGACATTACTACACAGACCTTCCTAGTACATGATAAGCAAAGGAAGGCTTTGATTTGGCTCTGCACACCAAAAGGTGGGTGATAGATGTCTCATCTGGTAATCCAGGAACAGTGCACAAGACGGAGAGGCTCAGGAAACCAGCGGTACCAGGCAAGCTCTGAGAGAGGCAGCCAGTCAAGTACAATGTTAAGTACTGGGCAATACCCCAGCACTTAAATGTAACTTAGTGGAACACACCCTAATGTACAGACAGTTGTGTATTTCTTGCTTCCAAGAGCTATGTATGAGAAACAGTTTGCTTTCTGGAAAAGCTTGGGTTGGGTCTAATATTCCCTAAAAGAACTGGAGTCAGCTGCTGCCATCGTGTAGTGACTGTAGAGGGAGTGAGAGGATTTTTGGACCTTTTGCAAGGTCATGGGGTGTTCTTTTGCCAGTGAGATATCGAATCTTCTGCGAATGATTCAGTGATCAAAAGGCTTAATTTTTGCAATATCACTGCAATTTTTTTTTTTCCTGGTATGGGGAATGATAGGACCCTAAATGGTGATTCTGTCCAGTTACTGTGCTAGATGCAGTACTTGAGAATCTGGTCTTCAGAAATTAAGCATTTCAACTAGATTGAGTACAGTGTTGGAGAGTCCAGAACCTCACTTAAGGGTGGAAATTGTTCTGATTTACAAGTCTGACTGTATAAAGGTGGCAAGTAAAAAGGCCAAAGTGAGGCGGTCTTGGGCTGGTAACTAATACTGTCTTTAATTTAGAGTCTATCTCTGATGTGTTGTATCAGTAATTAGACTCACGATGCTTTTGTTTTAATGAAAGCATGGCTTTTGTTTTGACATCACAGCATGCCTTCTACACAAATCTGGAAACAATCTGTTATTGCCTAGAGGTACGGAGGCCATAAATAAGCATTGGAGTGTTGCTGCTTTTAATCTGTGGAGGCAGTTCATGCTACAGAGGGTTCATGCTAGCAGAGAAATGCTTTTCAACATTTGAAGTGGCTCTGTATAGCACATGTCTATGATAAAATTGCCGATAGGAATGTCACTGAATTTCTCTAGTGCATGGTTTTTGTTCAGCTTTTTTTAGTATAGCATCCTGAGTTGGCTTGGTTGGATGTTTGAATGAGCTTCTAGGAAAAGACTTGGTAGTCTGGGCACCACGATAAAAGCAATGGTGTGAAACTGGCAAACTGATAAAGGCCAGCTGAACTCTGGAGACAGTGGATATCGGGAGTCTTTGTGTCATTTGTGGTTAGCTGTTTATCACTGTATTTAAATGAAATAAGTTCATTAGGTAACAGTATGTGATGTAGTTTTTTCCCAGAATAAAAATCGGCTGCAAACATTTCTTCAGGTTTAATGCAGCTCTGCCAGGGTCCTACAAATGGCTGTGAAAGTCGTTTCATATAGTCAATTAAATGATGACATTAGCATCTGTAGCAGTGGATTTACCCAGTACCCTTAACTCAAGAAGAGTGCTCTAGTTCTCTATTTTAAGTGGAGTGTTCAGGAGGGGAGGTGGAATATGTGAGAGAGCAGGAGTATGTGAGCCAGTAGGGCAGGGAAGGACTGACTGTACATGTTTATTCTCTAATCCCTGCTCTTTTTTTTTTTTTTTTTTTCCCCCCCCTCTCTGCTTGATTATTGTCTCTTGTGATTTTTGAAGGAACTTGAGAAGGTAACCAGTATTTTCCTAAACTCTGACATGGTTGCTCTCAGGTGTGGACTGTCATTCGTTTAAAGAGGTCTACTGAAAGGATGTTGTTATGTCTGCATTACAAGAAAAGAAGTGGTCATATTAGTTAAAATGGTGGTAAAAATAAGCTAACTAGAACTGGCAGCCAAGCTTGATCTTTCTTTCCCCTACAGATTTGTATTTTGATTTGGGTTATCATGTTGATATATGTTTTAACAGCTCTACTATTAAACTGCAGGGCAGTATGTTTCTAACTGAAAATATACCCTTTAATAGTCAGCATCTCTGAGCACAAGTTTAGTGAAATCTCCCAAGAGTACAAGAGCATCTGAACATGATAAAGCAATATGCTGACAATTTTCTAACTGCAAGGGGTGACAGAAAATCTTGCCTAGGGAGATTTTATTTGGAAAATTAATGGGCTCAGGAGGCACTTTATACCTGGGTCAGTAAGAGAGGCATAGAAGACATTAGTATTTTGAACTGGGAACTTGTTTTCAAATGCTTTCAAAACATGTGAAGACTGATGTATTAATGCAATAGCTGGTGTATCAATCAGACTAACATTAAATGAGAATCAAAGCTTTTGTTATTAATACTGTCTCCAATTGTGTGATTGAGCCTTACACTGCTGGGGCTATTCCAGAGTCACTTGACAACCTTCAAACAAAATGCTTGGGCTTCAGAAAGGATTCATGAGCAACCACTTCTAGTTGGTTAGTTTGTCACCTATTTTTTCCACATGTTCCTATTTTTCTTTTCTCCAAATCTCACCTCTCAGGTTTTTTCACTTTATCTTGAAGAAATCTTGTTAAGTTGAAACTGTACAAAGTAATCTGCTTAGATGTCTTCATTAAATTGCCAAGGGATATTTATGTATTGCATCAGCCTTTTATTGCAGAAGTGTTTGCTCGTTCTTCATGTCATCAAATGGGGAATACTGGCCGTATCTGCACTGCAGTACTGTACTCCCTTTCCAGTCTGAAGGCACAAGAGAAACCTGTAACCTCCGTGGTGTTTACGAGTCAAGCACTGGATTGTGTAACGTCGTTTCCTCTGACATGAGATGATTGTGTACTGTGAAGGGATTGAGGTTGCAACATGACTAGGAATATTAGATCAACGATGTAATTCTTGGACCATGAATAGTGGCAGGGCAAACTTGAAATATATTACATTTTGGAGCATTTTTTAAAAGTTTTACCCTTGTGACTGAAATTGCTGACACTAAGAAATGCTGCAAGACCTCTGGCTAATAAAGCTGAAACCTGAGCTGCAGAGAGGGGAGTTTTTGCAATGAAAATTTTGAAAGGTAGGAAAAGAGCAAGTAAGTGTAGGGA